CCGCAGAGGGTGTAAGAAGCCAGGAAGGGGCTGGAGAGATGAAAAGTCATTACTTTGCACTTCGAGGCATTAAGGTGTAACATACTTGCACAGAACCATGACTGAAAGCTATTGAGATCAGATTGCGAGCGAGAGTGAAATGAAATTTTCTTATACTGGACACGGAGCTTAAGTACTCTAGAATTTTGAATACAGAAGGCAGGTCATTAATAAAGAGTGTGAAAAGTAGGGGGCCTAAATAGCTACCCTGTGGTACTCGAGAAGTAACCAAAACAGGTAAAGATAAGGAATTTTTGAAAAAGACCCTTTGGGACCTAGAACACAGGTAGCTAGAAATCCATCTCAAAAGATGGAGCGGAAACCCTAGAAGGTCGAGTCAAGAAGAGAGTCGTTTACAGAATCGAATGATACCGGCTTAACTAATTGAAGTTCATGAAGTAAGGAGCTTTCATTACACGAAAGGCCCAAAATGACATTCGACCTTGGTAGACTATATGGATACACATGACCTGGGTAGCTTTCCTGTGAATAGGTTGTTTGAAAAAAATGTGCAAAAAGATCGGCGATTGCCTGATCATTGTTTAACGACATATTCAAAAATGATAGCGAGGATATTTGTGCTGACGTTCTACGCTTACTGTTTACAAAGCTGTAAAGCTATTTAGGGTCCTGTGAAAAACGTATCCTGAATCTAAGTAGGTAGTTCCTTTAGCATTGAGCATTAGGAACAGTGAAATTTGCCCGAGCTATTAAGTAATTAGAAAGAGAAGAGGGAGAACCAACTTCTTGAGATTTGTTAAATAGTCTCGATTTTAGGTTCTTTAGACTGGATAATTTGGATTTGGTCAACCAAGGAGGTTTCGCAGATCTAGTCGGACATGAGAGTGGGACACTCGTGTCAACAATTGTGTCAAGTACATTGTAAAAAATGTTTGTGCCTTCAATGACGTCAATCAAAATCCCTAATTAAGTTATTGAGCCTCGTAAACTCGGCTTTACGAAAGCAGCGGACGAGTTCAGAAAGCCTACCCGCACGATCCGATACAGTAGGTCCAATATCTACCGACACTTCGAAAGTAGGATGATAGCAGTCTTCAGGTATAGTGAGAGTGAGTGCTCGTGTTAACAACGCTACGGTCGGATCCGAGACAAAGCACAGATCAAGCAATCGACCCAAAGAGTTGTTTACATGGTTGACTTGAGACAGAGACAGGTCTAATACGCCATCTATAAAATCATGTCGTGATATGGGCACAAGGTTCTTTGACTCGTTAACCGAAGACCATACAGTAGCTGGCAGGTTGAAATCCCCAAGAACTATTAAATGGTCTTTATCAGATAGCAAGGAAGAAACAGTTATTAAGGCGGACAAGTGCTGCTCGTATATTCATACATCCGAAGTCGGTGGAATATACGAGCAGGTGACATAAATAGACTGGTCGGGAAGAATCAGTCTAACACAGAGGAATTCCAGGTCCAGAGACGAACGATCATTCATATATCACATATAAATTGTGTACCGATCTGCCAAAACTTCGGAACTAAAAATGTCCGGCTTTAACCAGGTTTCGGTAAACACAATAACATGGGAGAGGGACAGGGTGGGTTTAGCCACTGCAAATTAAATTATTCATTCTGGCTATAATAATAATCCAATCTGATCCCAATTTTCAAGTGCCTCATTCACACTCTGCTTCGCGCAGTGTGCCTCTGCCTCTGCCGTGAGTCTGCAGTGTGTGGGTCTAGGGACGGGGGCCGAGGTAAAGGTGCATGGTGGTGTGAGAAGTGTTGTAGATGTGGATGACACTCACAGCGCGGGCGCGAAACTTTACAAATTAAAAAAAAAGTTCTGCTATACGAAAAAATCAATAATTCATTAAACAATTTTAATGTCAGAAATCTATCAGAACGAGAAGACACGTGTGAGACGCTTCTTACGCGTCACAACTTTTATACCCGGCACTCAGTACTACATCTGCACCCTAGCGGTTTTTTTTTTTAATTTTACTCTACAGAGGCAGAGGCCGCACACCGCAGAAGCAGAGTGGGAAAGAGAGAATGTGAAAAAAAACAACAAAAGCTGCGGGACAGGGTGGGTTTAGCCACTGCAAATTAATTTATTCATTCTGGCTTTAATAATAATCCAATCTGATCCTAATTCGGTGATCTGATAGATATGTTTTTACTTTTCTCGTATCTTCAAAATTGTGAATACCGCAGATTTTTCGTGATTCGCGGGGGCGGGGCTTATTATACCCGGAATTCGAAGAGTAAATATCGTATATTGTATTTGTGCACAAAGTATGTAACACACAGAAGGAAAAGTTTCCGACCCCATAAAGTATATATATTCTTGATCAGCATCAATAGCTGAGTCGATTGAGCCACGTCTATCTGTCCGTCCGTCTGTCCGTACTGATGAGCGCCTGGTACTCAGAGACTATAAAAGCTAGAGCCACCAAATTTTGCATTCATACTTCTGTATGCTCACACTGTTACAAGTGTATTTCAAAAATGAGCCACGCCCCCTTCCGAAAAGTGCGAAAAGTGCGAAAACCTCCCAAACCTAAAATTTTGAAGATATAATATAAAAACGCCATTCCGTAGGGAATGACCATATCTATCAGATCACCAAATTGGAATCCGATTGGATCATTATTATAGCCATAATGAAGAAATCAATTTGCAGTGGCTAAACCCACCCTGTCCCGCAGCTTTTGTTTTTTTTTCACATTCTCTTTCACACTAAGCTTCGTGTAGTCAGCGCCTCTGCCTCTGCAGCGAGTCTGCAGTGTGTGGGTCTAGGGAAGGCGGCGAGCTAAAGGAGCGTGTTGGTGTAAGAAGTGTTGTAGATGTAGATGACAGATGAAGAAAAAATGTACAATTTGACAAATAACCGCTAAGGTGCAGATGTAAAACTCCCTTCTCGTTTTTGAAATACACTTGTAACAGTTTGAGCACACAGAAGTCTGGATGCAACATTTGGTGGCTCTAGCTTTTATGGTCTCTTAGTACTAGGCGCCCCTCAGGACGGACAGACTAACGGACAGACAGATATGGCTCAATCGACTCGGCTATCGGATCAAGAATATATATACTTTATGGGGTCGGAAACGTTTCCTTCTGTGAGTTACATACCTCCTACATATACCCTATTTAGTCTTGAAGTACCGGGTATAAAAATAAAGGACCCAGGATATAATTTTTTTCGACTTTTCCTGAGTTTTTAAAGACAATATTTTGTTGAAAATACTGCACAAAAATCGTTTTCTTTGCAATTGAAACCTAATATTTTTCAGACGGTAAGCTAAAACCACGTAGTGTTTGGGTCAATTGTTAGCTGCATCGAGTTCTTTAAAACTAAATGTAAGTAAGTAAAGATGTTTAAGGTACATATGTACATATGTGTAGATAATGGTTATCGGTAGATGCCACTGATTTTCGTCGTTTCTGGTGGGACAAAAATAAACGGCTTAAAGCAGAAAAGCTTCAAAAGCATTTAGCATACAGCATGAGCGTTCGTGTTTGTCTATACAGTATGTGTTGTCATTTATATTTATGCCATTTAAAAAAAAAATGTAACATACCATAGTTAATGTCATTTTATCAATTTCATGTTTATCCTTTGTTTTATGCTGTCGAAATGGTGAATGGCCTTTAAGCAATTTATATAGCATACAGCCGAAACTAAACCAATCCGCACAATAATCATACGAAGTTCCTTTTGATAACACTTCTGGCGCCATATATCCGTGCGTTCCCACTGATGCATGTGGTTTTTTTCTAGAAAAGTCGCAAGCCAAGCCCAAGTCAGATATTCGTATGTGTCCATTTTCATCCAGCAATATGTTTGCCGGCTTTAAATCACGGTACACAATACAACGCTTATGCATATGCTCCAAACCCAATATCACCTGTTAAAACAATATTGTTATGAATCAATCAATCAAATACTCTCTACATTTACTTATATTACTTACCTCCGCAGCGTAAAATTTCATTTCGTCTTCGCTAAAAACGCCATGCTGCGATAGATGATAATGCAGATCACCGCCATTCATTAGATCCAATATAAAACACAGTTTATCGGGCGTATGAAAGGCATACGTCATGCAGACAATAAAGGGACAGTCAACCTAAAAAACGCAATTCTTTTCTTTCAACTGTTAATTTAAATGTAAGATGTATAGCTTACTCCAGTGCTCACAGCTTGCAACATGTTGCGTTCATTAAGAGCCAGCATTTCACCTTGCTTCATTTTAATTCTTTTTTTGTCTAAGCATTTCATGGCGTACATTTTTCCAGTGTCAGCTTTTCGACATCCATATACTTCCCCAAAGCCTCCACGACCAATTATCCTATGTACGCTAAAGTCGTTCATTGTCAGCTAAAACGATCCGAAAAAATTTAAAATTTAATCAGTGCAAAATACAAGGAAAAGGGACGAGAAGGGACGTGTGCGACGCTTCTTACGCGTCACAACTTTTATACCCGGTACTTAGTAGGACATCTGTACCTTAGTGATTTTTTTTGAATTTTAAATTTTGCGTCTTTTCTACACCTGTCATCTCTGTTAGCTCGCCCCCCACTTTTGAGCCACACACTGCTCAAAGCAGAGTGAGGAATGAAAAAAAAGCTGCTGGAAGGGGTGGGTTTAGCCACTAAAAACTACTTTCTTCATTCTGGCTATAACAATGATTTGATCCCAAGGTAGCGCTTCTTTTCTTCACAATATTTAAATGTCTGGTTGTAATGAACTTAGCCATTCTATAAAGCTAATAAATGCATCTATAAAGTGTACACTTTGTGTTTTAAGCTTACCGTTTGAAAAATATTAAACTTTGTAAAGTATTTTTTACGAAATTTTGGCTTCAAAAACTCGGGAAGTTAAAAAAAAAGAAATCATGTGTCCTCAAGTTTTATATCCGGGACTCGAAGAGTAAATAGGGTATATTGCTTGTGTATATGTACATAGGGGCATTAATTGGACTTCGTTTGAGGTATTGCTCATCAAAATCTATGGAGACACGGTTGAATCTATGAGCTTAAATTGTTCAATTAACCCAAAATACCCGTATTTTTCCATTAAATACCGACATACTTTAGGTTTATTTTTATACCCGATACTCAAAGAGTAAATAGGGTATATTGTATTTGTGTGAAACTTTAAACTCAAAGAGTAAATAGGGTATATTGTATTTGTGTGAATAACGGTTGTATGTAACGCACAGAAGGAAGCGTTTCCGACCCCATAAAGTATATATATTCTTGATCAGCATCAATAGCCGAGTCGATTGAGCCATGTCTGTCTGTCCGTCTGTCCGTCCGTCCGTCTTGTTTGTCGGCTAGTTCTCAGAGACTATAAGAGCTAGAGCCACCAAATTGGCTCCAGACTGCTGTATGCTCACACTGAAACCAGTGTATTTCAAAAATGAGCCAAGCCCCTTCCGCCCCCGCAAAAGGGCGAAAACCTCCCAAATCTACAATTTTGAAGATAAAAAAAACTAAAAACGCCATTCCGTAGGAATGGTCATATCTATCAGATCACCAAATTGGGATCCGATCGGATCATTATTATAGCCAGAATGAAGAAATTAACTTGCTGTGGCTAAACCCACCCTGTCCCGCAGCTTTTGTTGTTCATTTCACATTCTTTCATTCACACTCAGCTTCTGCTTCACTCGGCCCCTGCCTCTGCCGTCCCTCTGCCTCTTCCTCTACCGACTTTTAACCCACCCCGTCCCGCAGCTTATATTTGTTTTATTTTTTGTGTGCGGTCGCTGCCTCTGCCTCTGCCGCGAGTCTGCAGTATGTGGGTCTAGGGAAGGGCGGCGAACTAACGGAGCGTGTTGGTGTGAGAAGTGTTGTAGATGTACATAGATGACAGATGAAGAAAAAATTTAAAATTTGACAAAACACCGCTGAGGTGCAGATGCACTATTGTCCCAATGACCAGTTTTGGTGGCCAAAAGCTAATTTTTAAAAGTTAAAACCAAGACTCGGTTTTTAACGCTCTGTATTAGAAAAAGAGTGACCATCAAAATTGCGGTCATTATTTCACAGAATGTGCAGGGAAAAAGTACTAATTTTATTGCTGTTTTAAATATCTCATAAATTGGAAAATACGATTAACTGATCCAATATTTTTGATGCATTTTATTTAGTAGGCTTTTTACTTTGTGTTCTGTAATGTGAACGATATCTAGTGGTTGGCGATGTCTTTTACATCTAGATGTAGTCCTGAGTGCCGGGTATAAAAGTTGTGACGCGTAAGAAGCGTCTCACACGTCCCTTCACGTTTTTAGTATTTTTTCAAAATTTTTCTGAAGTATGAAAGCCAGAAATATTTATTCTGTTGTTTTATACCCGGTTCTCGACGAGTAAATAGGGTATTTTGTATTTGGGCACAAAGTGGATGTATGTAACACAGAGAAGGAGACGTTTCCAACCCCATAAAGTATAATATATTCTTGATCAGCATCAATAGCCGAGTCGATAAAGCCATGATGGAGCGGAAACCCTAGAAGGTCGAGTGCGCAAGAAGAGAGTCGTTTACAGAATCGAATGCCTTACTAAAGTCAGTGTAAATAACATCCGTCTGCAAGTTACATTGGAAGCCTTTAATGACAAAGGAGGTGAACTCTAAAAGATTAGTGGTTGTTGATCGTCGCCGTATAAATCCGTGCTGAGCTGGAGATATAAGTGATTTGCAGAGATGTTTCAAATGGGGAGTTACAAATTTCTCGATCATTTTAGGAATTGCGGATAACTTAGATATACCTCTATAGTTTTTAGCGTCAGACTTGCTACCTTTCTTATGGAGAATAATTATAAAGGATTCCTTACAGAGTAGGGGAAACCTAGAAGAATGGATGGATAGAGTGAATAGTTTAAGCAAAGGTCCGCACGGAGACTCTGCACAGTACCTGACATGGCATGGTGAAAATACCGGCTTAACTAATTGAAGTTCATGAAGTAAGGAGCTTTCATTAAACGAAGAGCAAAAAATGACATTCGACCTTGGTAGACTATATGGATACACATGACCTGGGTAGCTTTCCTGTGAATAGGTTGTTTGAAAAAATTGTTTAACGACATATTCAAAAATGATAGCGAGGATGGATGTGCGGACGTTCTACGCTTACTATTTACAAAGCTGTAAAGCTGTTTAGGGTCCTGTAAAAACGTATCCTGAATCGAAGTAGGTAGTTCCTTTTGCATTGAGCATTAAGAACAGGGAGGGAGAGGGAGAACCAACTTCTTGAGATTTGTTAAATAGTCTCGATTTTAGTTTCTTTAGACTGGATAACTCTTTGGTGAACCAAGGAGGTTTCGCAGACCTAGTCGGACATGAGAGTGGGACACTCGTGTCAACAATTGTGTCAAGTACATTGTAAAAAAAGTTTGTGCCTTCAATGACGTCAATCAAAATCCCTAATTGAGTTAAGCAACGGACGCGTTCAGATGGCATACCCGCACGATCCGATACAGTAGGTCCAATATCTACCGACACTTCGAAAGTAGGATGATAGCAGTCTTCAGGTGCAGTGAGCGGGAGTGCTCGTGTTAACAACGCTACGGTCGGATCCGAGACAAAGCACAGATCAAGCAATCGACCTAAGGAGTTTTTTACATGGTTGACTTGAGACAGGGACAGGTATAATAGGACATCAATAAAGTCATGTCGTGACATGCGCACAAGGTTATAAGACTCGTTAACCGAAGACCAAACAGTACCTGGCAGGTTGAAATCTATTATATGGTCTTTATCAGATAGCAAGGAAGAAACAGTTTTTAAGGCGGACAAGTGCTGCTCGTATATTAAGACATCCGAAGTCGGTGGAATAAACGAGCAAGTGACTTAAATAGAATGACGTAAAAAGTTGGTCTGGATCGAAGCGACAAAATCGTGTCGAGTAATGTAATAATAAATTGATCTGTGTAAGTATATGGCTAATTTGATTTTATTCCCAATAGGGAAATGGGAATTTATGCAGTTGTCTTTAATTGACGTACTTTTGTTTTTTTTTTGTATCGTCATTTTAAGATATTTTGTTGTAAAGATTACATAATTTTTCCGAAGTATTGCGTGAGGTGGCTCAAAGGGGGACTAGCTGGGGCCACCGGATGGCACGTTGCAGATAGGGAACGGCATATAAGCGGGCATGGGGTAGAGAAATAAGCTGGCTCGGAGAGCCACAATTTTGAAGATCAGAAAAAATAACGAGATGGGACGTTGTAGACGCTTCTTACGCGTCACAACTTTTATACCCAGTACATCTGTAGATGTAGAACCTTAACGTTTTTTCAAGTTTTAAATGTTACATTTTACATTATTTCAGGCCTCTGCTTTTGCATTGCCTCTGCAGACTGTGTCGCTAGGGGAGGGGGGCGAGCTTAAAAAGCGTGTTGGCATGAGAAGTGATGTAGCTGTGGCTGTGCGATATTTTCGCCTTTTGTAGGGGCGGAAGAGGTGGGGATAATTTTTGAAATACACTTGTATCAGTGTGATATCACAGCAGTCTGGTGTGTTTGGTTTGGTGGCCCTCTCCATTATAGTCTCTGAGAACTAGCCGACAAATAAAGCGGTACGACAGACAGACAGACAGATATAGACTCGGCTATTGATGCTGATCAAAAATATTTATATACTTTATGGGGTCCGAGACGCTTCCTTCTCTGCGTTAGATACATCCAATTTCCACACAAATACAATAAACCTTAAACTTGCTCTTCGAGGACCGGATCGCCCGGTCCAGAAAAGGCATCCCCAGCCCATCTACAAAAAGCTAGTACAATATTGTCTTCATCAAGAAAATGGGAAAAGCGGCACAGGACTTTAGAACAATTAGTGATGGTATACTTCTTTCTCCTCAAAACTTTTGAGAGAATAGAACTGAAGACAATCCTTAGCTGCTCATGTATAATTTCCGGGGTAGAGAAAGCTACATCTTAAGGAATACTCTTTAGTTGTCACATAATCAATTGGAAAGTTCATACTCCTTTCCATACCAATCTCTTTGCCACATACACAAAAGACCGTCGTGTTGGTATGTAGCATACCACATATATATGTGGGGTAGGTTTAATTAAAGGATAGTTTATTAAATATGTAATGAGTGTGTAAATTAAGTGTTTCTTTGACATATTCCAACGGCTTATTAAATTACGACGTATTCTCAACTGATACCGACGCAAAACACGACTGCCCGACTTCACGCCTGACAACGGATTGCCGAGGTTTCTCTCTCTCTCTGGCGTATGACGCTTCCGCGCTCTCTCTCTCTCGTGATCTTCTCTTTGTCCTATCTTATCTCCGCTCTCTGCTCTCTTAGGTTGGTCCGCGCTTATGCACTGCGCGTTTAAAATTCTAAAACATTAACAAAA